GATTAATAATGTGAAAATATTTCTGGAAATAGTAAAATTATATTTGTGTAATGAAATCAGTAATCATCTATTATAACGAATTATTCGTTATACATACCGCATAATTCGTTATAGCGTTAACGAAGATTCTTATAACAAAGTCCTGATTGGCTGAATTAGCAACTTTGTTATATCGAGGTGTGACTGTAAACATTTTTTTTTAAAATGATTTGAGTAAAAAAAAAATAGTAAAATATATTTCAAAAGAAATTAAAATATAAAATAAAATTATGACAAAAATTTTATTTATTATAATTAATTTAAAATTTTGTGACATTACATATATATTTCAATATAAATTAATGAATTTCTAATTAAATTATATTTTGATAGATAAATTATATTTAATAAATATAATTATTTTATTAATAATTTATAATAAATATCAAAATTAATGTAATTAATTATGATATTATCAATATTAATTAACATTAAAATATAATTACATAAAATATAAAAATTTTGTAATGGTACATAAAAATAGAAAAATTTTATATAATTTTGTGATGATTAAATGATTTATTATATAATTTTATAATATACAGTATATGTGATATTTTGTAAAATTCAAAATATATTATCATTTCTAAGTAGAATTAAATTTGAAAATATAATTCTGGCCAGTATTATTAAATTATATAATGTTGATCAAATTTATAATAAGATTTTTTTTAATAATTCTAATAATATATTAAATTTAGATAATTAAAAATAATCTCAAGAGTACTCAAAAAATTTCTTTAATTATGTTATTCAAAATTATCCTTCACATTTTCCATTTTCATAAATATTCTAAAGACTTGAATTTTATAATAGTAAAAATCATATTTATTATATAATAACCATTACATCTTTAGATTTAGGATTAGGTCAGAGTTTAGAAATTATATATAATGCAAGCCAAAATTATGTGATTGAAAAATTTTCTAGCTACTCTTAAGGGTAGAGAATCTTAACCTATACAAGTAGTTCATTATAATCACTACATTAATTAATTAATTATTTACTGTTTACCATTACGCAAGATAATAAATCTCTCTCTTTCATATTTTTTTCTTTTATTTTCATGTTTTAAAAATATTTTTTAAGATTTTATTAATTAATAAAGCTAAAATATTTTTCAATAGCAGTTCAGAACTTTAAGTGTAAAATATTATCATAAAGTTGTAGACATAATAAATATGTTTTTTTGTATTATATAGAGATAATTTCACAACATAATTTCAATATTTTAGTCAAACTAAACAGGCGAAAATACTAAAGAAAAGTTATTAATAAGGTATAAAAATATTTATATATTAATTATTGTGGGTTTAATTTGAACTTATTAGTGTTTATTAATAATATTTAAACATATTTTATTTTTACTTTAAGGTGTAAATTGAACAGTTTAGCCAAAGAAAACAAGAAAAAAACTTAGTAAAGTTGTTTAGTAAATATTAAAAATTTTGTGTATTAATTTTTATGAGACTAGCTTAAATAGTTATGAAGTTATGAATTTTTTTGTAATATTAAAACGCGTTTTTTTAGTAAAATATTTAATGGTAATATTTAATTTTAATAATTTTCACTCAATAAAACTTTATATTTTCATGAACTGAAACTTTCAATCATTATGAAAAATTAAAATAATTTCATTATTGTTTTATATTTAAAAGTTTTGATCTATTTATTACTATTTAAAATACATAAAAATACATGATAATTTTTTTATTCTTTACCATTTAAAATACATGAAAATAATGAAAGAGTAAATTTATTTATCACAGGAGGAATACTCCTTATACATCGCCTTTATATATATACCTTACCCTAACTCTAACCCTAACCTAACTTAACTCTAAGCCACGTGATACTTACTACGTGACAAATAGGGTTTCACACATAAAAAAATTTCTCTGTTCTCATAGGAGGACTTTCACATGATTGGCTGATTATATTACACGAATTTTGTAATTGATACTGTAAATATTTATACATGTCACGTGATACATTACGTGATAATAAAATTCAACTATTGCATTTAATAAACTATTTTAGCATTTAAATGTATAATAAATTAAAGTATTAAAAATAAAACCTTTGTTTCAAAAATTAGTTTAATTTATTGATTTTATATAATAGTCTTAGTTTTTGTAAACAAAAAAAAAAATTGTAAAAAATTTTTTATTTTTATTGTAACTAAAATGCTTCTCTAAATAAAGTTGTCCTTTTAAACGATCTATTGCTGTTGAAATTTACGCAATGCCTCTTCTAATGCATATGCTACATATTTTATGGGTTCACTTTTATCATCATTATCATCACAAGAAATATTATTTTCTGGTTCGACAACCTGCTCTTTTCGTTTTTGTAAAGATTGTAATAAAGATTGGACATATTTATCAATACTATTACATAAGAATGAGAGACAATGCAAGCATTTAAACCCATTGTTACTATAACAGGATCTATAATATGTGTAGCTGCAAACTAGAATTTCAATAGGATTGTCTGCAATAATAAATGAAGGAATCAAATAATTAACCGCATCACAGTAATGAAATTGATATAGTTTATGTGCAGTACTGAAACCCAAAGGAAGATGGCATAATTGTGCTTTCGGCATCTTTATTGCAACTAAGAGGATATCATTCTTTTCTTTACACTTCTTCTTTGGAGATGGATTGATCTGTAATGGAAATGATATTATTAGTTTATAGTGAAATAAGCGCATATAAATTTCTGAAAAACATTGCAATAGAAAACAAGTGCTTTTCTTTGTTAAAGCTATTATATCCTGTGCAGAATACTTATATGCTGCCCATGTAAATGTATGCACAAAATTTTCTCTAAATCCATTGTCATCCAAACGCAAATAATTAATGAAATGCCTATATTTAATAAACTGTTGCGCATCTGTGTGTTTTTGCGTACTTCTGCGTAAAAAGCTATGAAAGATTTTCACAGTCGAGTCTGAGAACTTCAGAAGTTCAGCCTTGATGGTCTCTAGAATTGGGTGATTGTTTAGCTCCCAATAAAAGATATCGGAAAGAAACATTAATGGCGTCTTGGTATAGTTTCTACGATGAAATTTAAGAAATATTATCCAAACACGAAAGCAAGCTTCTAAATATGCATTAAAATCACCTGACTGGAAAAATACAGTATAAATATCTAGCACAAGTGGAATTGTATTGTCAAAAAGATCTTTGAGCGTAAGATATTCAGCATCTTTACATAAAGGTCTAAATTTCATTTCAATGGTCATAGAAACTTCTTGCCAGGTATTGTGGGAAATCTCTAAAAGAAGGTTGATACGCCATGGCTTAGGCTTTTGCGTAAGTTTTTTATTTTCTTCAAAAATATATGTGTACATGGCTGAGAAAAAAGGTTGATACTGAAGGAAAACCAATTCTCGGCTATTTAGTGAAATATGCAGAAGACCTATAACAGAAAGGAAAGACAAAATATTGTTAATAATATTTGATGAATCACGATAATATAAGTAGCGTGAAATAGCTATTCTAAGATAAATCTGTCCAGACCAATCAGCCACAATGGGGATGATATTTCCTTGCTAAATATACTGTTGTATAGATGGAGCATTCACAATGGTGTTAATAGCTTTAATGTATGCATCCAAAGAATGAAGGTCATTTTCTTGTAAATCTATAAGAATGACATTCTTTATCGAATGGACATTTTGTTTCTCCTTTAATCTGATATCATAACTATGTATAGTTAGCTCCTCCAATCTTGTATTATCATCAACCATATGAAATCTCCAACGTCGGTTATGCGAAAGACTACAAAGACTCATAAACTTATTTTCCATATTAGTTTTAATCAATTCAGCATCAACTAGAACAGGATTATGTATATTCATTTTTGGAATTGCATATTGCATCGTAATTGGATTTATCAAAATTGTTACCAGATAGACAGCGGTTGATGTGATAGTTGTATTTGGTATTCGTTTCGTATGAATGCTGTGGTAATCGTCGATATTTAGTATTATTGCATTCTCTATACATTGTCACCGGGTTCGTTTTCGTTTATCTTAACGTCTAAGTTGAAAGGCTGCGGTAGCTGATTCTACACGTTGGAGTTTCTGACCTTAGGATTTTCTCT